AAGAGAAAAAAAAAGGGAACAGGGCATCGTCCATACAACCACAAGGAAGGCCTTTCTTATTGAGACGAGGTACAGCTACCAATGCGACAGGTTCATTTAAAAGAAGAAGTTTAAAATTAAGAAGAGGAACTAAAGAAGGAGAAAGCGATTGTAAGATGGTTTTAAATAATATTAAATTTAGTTTAAATAAGAATTCGAAATATTGATCCTGCTTATTAATATATGTTATAATAAATAACTGTATAAATTTTAACAGTTAAACGTACGGATTCGATACAGTCAAAAAGAAAAGTCAGTTCATTAAGTGATAAAAGTGATAATTCTGAACCTGGTCCTGCTGGAGAGGCAAGCGGTGAAGAATCACCGGGAATATTAAGTGACGATCAACCTCCAGAATCACCAAGTGACAGCAACGAAACGGATGACACGTCAAAAAATATGCCTTGGATGAGGGTCAGAATTTTTTTTTTTAAATTAATATTAAACAAAAAAAATTTTTTTACTCGACAATAATAATTTTTCCACAGGTGGTCGTTCAATTTGCTCATTCATTTAATTTTTTTTGTTCACATCAATCGTTTTGCCATCCTTTTTGCTACAGGAGACATATGAGAGCATGCGAACGACTCATGAAAGCCGTTCGAAAAGTTTACGGTGAAGAAAGCAATTTATTAAAAACAATGGGAGATGAATCCGGTGAAAAGCAACAGGATAATAAAAAAGATAAATCTGGAAAAGGACGAAAAGTATCGGATCAAACAAGCATTCAAGCATCTCCCATCAGAAGAAAAGATAGCGTTGGTAAAAAGGATAACAAATGTAAAGATTTTGATCATGATTTAGAAAAAAATGAAGTTATAAGAAATTGTGAAAAAAAAGAAATGATACCTGAAAAAACTAAAGAATCATTGCCAATATTAAAATATTTAAAAACTCAGGTAAAAGATGATGTTCAACATAAAAAACAATTTTTTCAATTCTTAATTAACAAAACAAACGAACAAACTTTTATTGTTTTAAGGTAAAAAATGTATTTCACGCTCCATTGTCTATTTTGGTGAAAGGTGCTGTATTATTATCTGAAGATCTTTTTATTGACGTCATTCCTGTTGCCTGGGAATTACTTTTAGAATCTGATCAAGAAGTAGCAGCAGTAGCTGCGAGTCTTTTCATCTTATGTTCTGTAAGAGCACCAAATCATGTAAGTGATTTGGTACATCATGCGCTCAGCAATCAGGAAACATCCACAAGAATCAATGCAATTCTAAGGTTGAAACCAGAAATTATTTACTAGGGAAATTTTACTCCTCAAAAAATGACCAAGATTTAAAATATTTTCTAGGTTTCAAGTTTTGTGGAAATTAAGGTATCAAGTTTGGCCGAGAATGGAAGAAGGAGCCCATGTAACTTTTAAAGTACCACCTCCTGGTATAGAATTTACACTTCCGAGTCCTAAAATCGGTATCGAAAGTTTACCTGTTGTAGATCCACCTTGGGTTCCTCAAATTCAAACAAAAGTCGAAGAAGTTACAATAAGTCAAGAAAGTCATGTAAATATATAAAAATAAAATGAATTACATAAATTATTATTAAAAATATAATAATTAAATTTTATTAATTCGAAAAAGAGAGCTTTGGTAACGGCAACGAAAACAAGAAAAAAACAACAAACGGAATTAATAACTTTGGCTCTTCAAGCACAAGAAGATAAAAAAAGAGTTGAAAGAGAAAATTTTTTAATAACGACCATTCCAGTTACCGTACAAGCAGCTTATCAGCCAAGTTTATTTCATGCAATCGGAGATGATCACGATGAAGGTATTTTTTTTTTTTTAATGAAATTTTCTTCCTTATTAGAGAAGAGGAAAAAGAAAATTTTTTTTTTTACAACAGGAGATGAAGATCAAGCGGAAATAAATCAAGGACGTAATGCTTTACATCATACAAATGCCGTACATTCATTATTTCCGTCATGTTTATGTTCGGCTGTTATTCAAATTATATCTTTATTAGATGATGCTGCTGTATCTTCTGATGGTAATGCTGTATATGAAGTTGCTTATTCGGTAAAAATTATTTATTTAATAATATTAATAAGTTTTTAAGTTAATCAAAGTAAACTAAAGATTTCCTTTTCCCCCATTTCTCCAGGTGATATGGAATTGTTTGGTAGAAGATTCGGCTTTATTTCTTCGTTATATATTGGAACGTATAACCCGGGAAAAACAAGATCAAATGTTTAAAATTTTAAGGCATTTAATTCGTTTTGTTCCAAAGTTACCACAGCAAGCAGCTTTTGCTCTTTATAATTACATAATTGGGTATGTTATGTTTTACGTCAGAAGTTCTCACGAAGAAGGACAACAGTATATTGGAACTGCTCTATCTATTTTATGGATGGTAAAATTAATTTTTTTTTTTTATAGTTAAACCTTTTGTGAAACTCCGGAATAACTAATAAAATATGGTTTTAGGTTGTCCACAGCGTTCATGGTATCATGTTTAAAGATTTAAAACAAATTCTTAGAAAAGAACAATGCGATGCTTCTATTTTACTAACTGCCAATGTACCATCGGCTAAAAAAATTATTGTACACGGTCCTCAGGGTATATATATACTATCGATAACTTTTAAAAACAATCAAATTTTTAAAAAAATTTTTATTTATAAAAGTTTTTTTTTTTTTTTAGAGCAAGATGCTGGAGGAATTCCATCTCAGTTTCCCGTTCAAGAAGATACTCAATTTTGTCAAATACTAAGGGAATCCCTGGATTTTTTCGGTGTAGAAGAAAGCAAACACAAAGAATATTTTTTAGTTGATCATAAGACGAGTAAGAAAAATTTTTTTTTAACAAATCGTAAAATCCTAATTTTATTTTATAAACAATAATAAATTTCAGGGCAAATACACAATCCAGCATCGTATGTGAGAGATTTTTATTTTTTTAAAAGATCTCAATATCCGCAATTAGAATTAGTTTACATGAGACCAGATGATGCTTTTAATGGTCTACAAAAACAAGAATTAATTCATAAATTTGTTGAAATAGGAAAAGTTTTATTAACTTGGGCCATTTTAAAAAATGTCGATATGGTAAAAATATTTTTACGTTGTACTATTAAAGATTTCGAGTACTGTCAACGTGAAAATTTTAAATTTTACTTTTATTTTGTCTGAAGGTTGTTCAAAGGGTTGTTTTTCTACATGAAGAATTAATGAAATTACCCTCTTTTCCGAGAAAAGCTCTTGAAACTGATTTAGATCTATATAAAAAAGGAGAACTAGGAAAGGTATAAATTTTTTTTTTAAATAAAATATTTAATTTATGTTTAAAACCTTATAAATTTACATTAATAATATTAAATTAATTTGCGAATATACACAGGAACTATTAGGCCTCGATGTCTTACATAAATTTATGTGGGTTCGATTAATTGCGAGAATGTTTGAAGCGATGGCTGGAAATTTTGCTTATTCCGGGGACATACATTTGTTATTAAATGTTTTAAACGGGGCTTTGATTATACACAGCGAAGATTCCTGCATTTTAAGATATGTTATGGCAACTTATATCAACGCTGCTCACAATTTTAAAAATATTTTTTCCACTAACGGGTAAGTCAAACGTTAGATTTATAAATAATACGTAATTCAATTTTTTTTCATTTCTAAAAAAAAAAAAAACGTTTAAAAATTTCAGGTATTTATTGATAATGCCTACTCTTTTGCAAATTTATTCTAATCATCAAAGTAATAAACTAGTCACCCGAACGGTTGAATATTGTGTTAAGCAATTTTATCTCATGAATAGAAAACCGTTTATTTTGCAAATGTTCGGTAGCTTGTCTGCAATTTTAGACACCGAGGAGGATGGTCAATACGGTGATGCTCACAAGGTGAGCATTGGGTTTTTTCAATTTTATAATACTAAGAATAAAACTTTTTAAACATTATTTTTTACTCATATCATTGCAATTAGTTTGTTTTAAAGAATAAAACAGATGGTATTCCTATTAACTTTTTAGGTACAAGCAAAATGCTTGTTTCAATTATTATTGAGTTTGGAAACACCTTCTCCAGATCCGTTAAATATTGCAGAATTGGTTAAAGAAGAAAAACCGTTAAAAGCAATTGATTTTTGTTACCACGATGAAAGTGAAATGGTTACTGTTTTAGATTGTATTTCTCTTTGCATTATGGTTATAGCATACGCATCTGATTCCGTTAGGGGTCATCAAATGCTGGTATTACTTTTTTTTCAATTATAGAATTCTTATTAATACTATCGTCAATAACTTTACACCGAAAAACATTCATATGTTAACAGATAATATTAGAAGCCATTCTACCTTACTACCTTCAACAAATACAAAAACCGGGATATGAAAAGGATGGGAAAACAGAAAAAGAAATAATTCAACAATTAGCAGTCGCTATAAGGACATTAGTTCACAATTGCGAAGCTTTGGCAAAGTAATTAAAAATCACACTTTAACTATAAAATTTTATACATTAAATTCTTTAGAACTGTTTACCTAACTGATGCTCTGTTGTAGAAATTATAATGGTCCTCAACGATCAAGCCCCGAACATAAAGGATCTAGTCAGCGAAATTATAGCCGAGGTCCATACAGTCCTGGTTTTGAATTTGAAGATGATTCACATTCTAGATACCTGAGTGATCACAGTCGAAGTAAATTACATTATGAAAAAGGAGAAATGGAAGATTCGGAAATGTTAAGAAATGAATTTCGAAGACCCAGAGACATTTTATTATCCCTTGTGGCAGATTTTCACACAAAATGTACTCAAAGGTTGGCTGAAATTAACAAAAAATCAGGGTACGATGGAAAAAACGTTGAAATTTTTGACTTTAAATCTCACATAGTAAGGATTTAACTTCTTTGCCATACTTGTTTCAAATCGAAAAAAATTTTTTACTATTCGCGTAATATTTTTATATTTTAGAGATTAGTAGACATTGCTCATAGTCTTTTAAAAGTGGCCCCTTATGATCCGGACACAATGGGTTGTCGAGGATTACAAAGATATTTCAATGATCTTCTTCCGATGCCAGAATGGTCAAATGATGCGATGCGTCCAGCTTTAACAACTATCCTTCGACGTTTGGAAAAAACATTTAATAAAATATACAAAAAGGCTTCTATTCGAGTACAGAATTTTTTTTTATTAAAAAACACAAATGAAAATAATATAAAAATCATTTAAACAAATTTAAAAGTTTTTTTTTTTTTTATTTTTTAGCGTCATACGGATTGGGATGCAGCAGCTGGTCTTTTAAAAGGAGTTTATGAAATGCTTTCCCGATGTCCTTACATAGTTCACGCACAACATTTAAAAACACTTATAAACACATGTCAATCATTAATCTTGGGAGATGCAAGTAATTATGATATTTCGGCCAACGAACCTTTGGTAGTACGAATATTAATGACAATGGTACCTCCTCCGCATTTCTGCTCTACTGTCGTTAGACTTATTGTTCTACAAATTTTACTTATGGGAGTAAGTCGAATTTTTTTTTTTTTTAACAAAGAAACTTTTCCACAACTTTATCAATAAAATGCTAAAAATAAATTTGATAATTTAAGGAAAATTATTCACTTGAACAAGTCTGTGGTAATACTATATTTCCAAACAAAAAGAAAACGGAAAGCATGCTCATGAATCTAATCATTCCATTGTGTATGAGAGTGGGAAGTGGTAGAAAAGATGCTCTTCAAATGAGACCACAAGACATTAGTTTTGCACTTACGGTTGTTCTTCATTCTATGTGCCCACCGGCAACATTAACAGCCCAAAATATTAAATCTTTGTCCGAAATGAGATCTGGAAGTTTAGCAGTAGGAAAAGAAACCAAAAAACCAGTTCGATTACCACAGTCTACTTATCAGGTGTCATTTTTAGGTAAGAATCAATCTCGTCCAATTTAAGCCAGAAGAAAAACGTTTAAAAAAAAATTTTTTGAATACTTTTTTCAGCCTTAAAAATAATAATGGTTTGTTTTGAAAATGATTTGACAAACGAGTGGCACAGAATAGCCAAAACAGTAAAAGATGTTGGAAAAATTATTGATTTGGGATCCGTTTTTTGGAACTTTTTAGATTTTGTTTCGTCTCAAAGAACTCCACTTTTTGTACTTTTGCTGCCGTTTATAAATCAAAAGGTATACATCTTTCAAAAAAAAAAAAAAAAACTCGATATGTTTTTCGGATAATAAATAAATTTAAAATGTTTTAATAAATATCTTCAGGTTAGCAGCCCCCCTTTAAATGATCAACAGCGTCACATGCAATTTGTTATTCGAGAAAAACTAAAAGGTCACAGTCTGCCAATTACTAAATGTCGATCAGCTTTGCTCATTGATTTGGCTCATGAAATCAAAGAACTTAAAGAAGAACTGGAAAATGGAAAAATAGGTTAATTACCAGATATTATATAGTTTTTTTTTCTGGTTGCAAGTTCTTTTAATATTTTAACAACCATATAATAGGAAATACTTTGAGATTTTAATGTCAAAGGGCATAGTTTTGAAAAACGTTAAAATAATATAAAAAAGTTTTTTGCGAATAGTCTTAATTTAAATAAATAAATAAATTTTAAATATATTATCATTTATTGCAGAAGATGCAAGAGGAGTCGATTTGTTAAATATATCTAATTCTCAATCTGGAGATATATCAGTGATTGGTTTAACTAGACATCAGCAGCGTCCATCTCTTATAGGAAATCTATTCACAAGTGGTAATCCCCTTTTTTTTATTTTTTTTTTTAAATTAAAGGAAAATTATTACATATTACAAAATAAATATGTATCTCTAAATTTTAATTTTTTTTTTTTTTTTTGTAGGAGGAGTTGAAACGAATTCTAAACACGCTCAAAATACAAATGATTTACCTATGAAACCAGTACAAAGTCAAAGAAACAGTGTTTCAAGTGTAACAGAAAAAAAACCAGAGGAATCTGTGACAACAGATGAGAATACCGAAAAAACTTCAAAACAGGAAACGGTTACAACAAAAGGTAAATACTAAAAATGCAAATACTTAAACTTTTTGAATTGTAAAAATTATAGTTTAATTTATTTTTATAACAATTTCATTGTAGGAGAAAGTTCAGTTACGTCCTTTAGTCCGGGAAGTCCAAATGATGATAGTTCAGGGGAAACGACAGAAAAACAAAATGTACCTAGATTACAAAGATCTAAAGCGCAAAGCCGAAAAACGTTAAGATTGAGAAAAAGTAGAAAATTTCATTCGGGACGTGTTGAGGTAAGGGGGGAGGGGGAATTCACATGCAGTTCAAATATAAGTTTTATTAATAAAATTAACAAATAAATTTTTTTAGATATCTGATAATGTAGGAGAAAAACAAAGTTACTCAACTCCGGCCACACCTATTCAAATTACTCCACAAGCCCAAAAAATTTTATTAGAACACCTGAAAGAAGCTAAATTTAAAGAAATATTTACAAAAGATGAAAAACAAGAAAGGCACAGAGAAAATACAAAAAAAACACCGACAGATAAAGGAAATGGAGATAAAAGTTCACCTAGTTGTGGATTTTCAAATGAAAGAAAAAAACCTGAAGACAAAGCCAGTCGGTCGAATGAAAGAAGTTACCAAAGCCAAGCACAACAAAATTTTCCCCCCAATAATGTATTTAAAAATAATAATTTATTAAAAACGGAATTATCTGTGGACGATGATACCAGTGCAGTTTCACAAACTTCTAGCACATCAGGTAATTATAAAAAAAAAAAAGTTACTTACAATTCACAAATATAAACCCAAAATTTCTCCTAAAATAACCTAAAACTTAATTTCTGGATTTTTTATTAGGATATCGAGAATCTTGTAGCATAATAACAATGACAATGGAAAGTCCCACATTACCTCATCCATCTTCAATAACTACAACTTCACCGGATTCTTCTTTGACAAGCATTGATGGTGATGAAACAGCTGTTTTAGCAAGAAGTAGCTCATCCCAACATTCCTTAATGATGTTATTCGAAACAAAAGATGAAGATACATTAATTTAAAAGCGATTTTTGGCGCGAAAATAATTGGTTAATCTTAAAGAAACGAATGGTAACCAAAAAAAAAAAAAATAGGAAAATAAATATTAAAATATTTAACCACTGCCCAGTAGTAATTTTAAGCATAGTTATTAATAGTAAATAATTAAATTTGATTTTTTTATATATTTTTGACAAAAAAAAAACTTAAATTTTTTGCAGTATTATTGCAATAAAAATATTTTCTTTTTTTTTTTTAAATTCACAAACACGTATTTTTTTTATAAATTAAAAATAAATAAGACATTTTAATTTTAAAGGATAACATTTAATTGAATTTTTATCAAGAGGTTAAAAAAATTTAAATTTAATTTATTTCAGTATATATAGTAAAAGAAGTTCCTTAATTTTTTGTGTTATTATAATTATTAATAAGTAAAAAATTTAGATTAAAAAAAAATTTGTTTGATTTACATTTAAATTCGATATTGAGGCTTTAAAAAAAAAAATTAAATTGTCAGTTTGATTTGTTTTAAAAATTTCTGTTTCAGTATAATGAATAAGAAAAAAAAAACATGATTTATAGAGTAAATTACACTCGGAGCATAAAATAAATGATTGAAAATACTGTTTTATGTTCTATTTTATGTCACATTCCAATAAATATATATATAAATACGTTTTAAAAAAAAAATTTTAATAAAAATTTTGTTTGTTATCTAAAGGGCAAGATTGTGTTTCATAAGAATTTTCCGTTACTCCTAATATTTCTAAATCTTCTTTTTGCAAGCAGCCTTTTGGAAAATAACCCCATAATTTAGGTGCATGCGTTTTTAAAGTTTTTATTCTTTCCTCTTTAACTAATTCAGCTTTTTTATTTTCTTCATTTTCTTCTAAACGATTTAAAAGTTGAGTTAATTTTAATCCTTCAGCTCTCTCTTGTATTTTTAGTCTCATCGCTTCCTTGTTATAATTAAAATTATGTATTTGTTCCTGACGTCTTTTTTCTATTTTTTCTTTTTCTGCTCTATCCTCAGCTTCAATTTTTAATTTCATTTGTTGAGCAAATTGATAATCAAGTTCCTTTTCTTCAGCTTTTTTACGCTTTTTTTCATCTAAAAGTTTATGATATGACTCAATAGCTTCTTGTTTTCTAATTTTCTCTTTATGCATTTCTAATTCTTTTTTTTTATTTTCTTTTTCTTCCATTTCATTTCGCAATATCGAATCCATTAAATTTTGATTTTCCATTTTTTTTGCCTGTAAAATATTATTTTTGCATTCAAATTTTTATCTTTGGAAATTTTATATAAAGTTTTAAGGAAAAAATTACTTCTTATAGTTATAAACGAGAAAATAACACATTAAATTTACTTAAAAAAAAAAAAAAAAACTCACAACTTTCGCTTGGGTTTCTTTCATTAATTTTCTAGTCATTTCTTGAACTGATATTTTTTTCGATAAGGCTTTAGCTTCTTCCAATTGTCTTATTCTATCTTTTTCTTCATTTATTTGTTTAATTTTTTCATCTTCTTCCTGAAGTACAAGTCTTTCTTTAGCTTTCCACACAGCCCTGGCAGCAAAATGCTGTTGCATTTCCTCTTTTAATTTTTGCTGTAAAAATCTTTTTTCTTCCAATTCCCTGTCATAAATATTTATTTTATAAATAATCATCGCCTAAATTTGTAACGATAATTTTTTATTTAAAAAAAAAAAAATTTAACGAAACCTTTTTTCATCATCTTTTATTTTCTGAATAATATCATCAAACATATTTTTCTCTTTCATAAATGATATATATTCCAATTGTCTAAGTCTCTCTTTTTCAATAATTTGATCTTGTAATGAATGCCTAAAATCATCCTTTAATTTTTTTTCTGTTAATTTATTGGCAATTTCTTGCTCCTCAAAAGTTCCAACAGCTTCTTCAACAATTTCTCTAGCCTTTTTCTCTTGTATCTGCATAAAAAAAAACAATCAGGATAATGTGTGCAACTGAAGCTTAACATAATAAATAATTTTTTAATATTTTACATCATCTAAAATTTTATTAGCTTCTTTTTCGATTAATTGAGCTGCAATTGCTTTTTTGACATAAGCTGCTTTTAACTGTGACTCTAATTCTCTTAATTCATGATTATTTTCCCACAAATGTAATCTCATTTTTTCATCAATAATTTCTTGACGTCTTATTAAATTCAATTCGACAGCTAAATTTTCTTCTTGTTTAAGCTGATTTATTTTTAACTGCTCTACTTCTTGTGCCTAATAAAATATTTAAAAAAAAAAAAAAAAATTTTTTTCGGTTTTAAATAAATAATTCAATAACGAAATAAAACTCAATAAAAAATTTCAATACCCTATGAACAACGCCATTTAAAGATGCTTCTCTTCTTTCAAGTTCAAGCCTTCTTATGAAATCTTTTCTTTCGTTTACTAAATTCTTAGCTTCTTCCAGTTGGTACTTGAGTAACATTCTCTCATCTTCTTCTATACTTTTTTTTAATTCTTGTCGAATTTTTTCTTTGTCTTTTTCTTTTTTGAAATTCATTTTTTTTTTTTTTTTGACTTTTAATTAAAACTAATTATTTAAACAAAACTTATAACAAATAAAATCGAGAGAAAATTAAATACTGAAAAATAATCCAAATTGTCAGGAAAAAATGCTTTTTTTTAAGTTGTAAAACAAAATTTTTCGGGGCCCTTAAAATCCGTTACAAATCCGGAAATGCATGCATGAATCATTTGTAATGAAAATTTTTAAAATTGCAATTATCAAATTTATTTGCGCGGTTTTCAAATCATCAAAATTTTGGTTAGAAATATATTTTTTATAAATTATATTACTTATATTTATAAAACCGGAATGAATTGATTTAAATCGAAAAGCCATTTTAATTAAATTTTTAGTTTTACATCCAAAAAACTAGCAAATTAATAAAAGCAAATATCGCAAAAAGTTAAAACAAATAAATAGTTGTTGTAGAAAAAGTCAATTTAAAAAATTTTTCTCAAATACTTATTTACCCAAAAAAAAAAAAAAAAAAACTTTTTAACGCATGACAGTTTTTTTTTGAAATTCTTTTTTTTGTTAGTGGATAACGTTCACTAGTTTATTTCAACATTTGTTTGTATCTAATCAAGTTTTACTGTGTAAATTACTTTTTTTAATTTTAATTATTAATTTTTTTTAAAAGTTATTAATTAAATTCAATAAGTTAACTTTTAAAATTTATATCAATCTGGTTACTTCATTAAAAAATTAAAATTTTAATAATTATTGTTTTTTAATTTTAGATTAAAAGAAATATGGTAAAGAAAATGAATTATTTAAACTTGTACTTTATACTATTGTCTTTAAATGTCTTATTTATTTTCAATACTATACAATTTGGACATTGTAAAGGTAATTAATTAATATATTGTTTTTTAAAAAAAACACGTAAAATGTTTCAAACTATTATTATTATTATTATATATAATTTTTAAATTAAAGTTTTAATATTATTTGTTTTAATAAATTATTTATATTTTAGGTTTACAATACGATAAACTATCCAATTTAGGACTCAGAGATGTAATTAAAATGAGAAGAGGTATTTTAAAATTATTTATTTTTATTATATTTCCCCCTTTTCCCCCCTTCAAAAAAAACGTTATTTTAAATTTTTAAATGAATGTCAATGATTTTATAAATGATAGGAGGATGTGCAGCTTTTGGTCATTCATGTTTTGGCGGACATGGTAAAAGAGGAACAAAATTCAATCCATTTCCTCAAGTCAAAGAAAATAGAGTAAATTTTAAATTAAAATATGATAACATTGATAACGAGTTAAAAAAGGAAAATTCACAATTATTTACCAAATATTTAAAACATCAAATATTATCCCAGAGAAAAAAATCAGATGATGGAAATTACTTTTTTTAAACATCATAACAATTTTTATATTAAATATTAAAAGAATAAATATATTAATATATAAAAAAATATATGTATCTGTATAACAAATAAATTTATATTTACTAAACAATAAATAATTTAAAAATAAATATTAAAAATTTGACTATAAGAAATTATTAATTTTTTTTGGATACTTTTAAACTTTTATTTTCAAGGAAAAATTAATAACGCTTCCTAGTTTTCCCTTTTTAAATATTTCAGCCCAGAGCTTCGTTTTAGTTTTTAATTTATCAACCAAGCATTAAATATTAAAAATTAAAAGCGAGAAAGTACTTGATAAAGTTTAAAAAAATGACAATTGTTCTTGTTTCGAATTGGTTACCATTGATTTTTTTCCTTTGTCTGTTGGTTAATTTCAACCATCAAATGAAAATTTTTTAAAAATTATGAAGTTTATCTTCTTATTTTTACATTACGACATCATTCCGGTATTAATAAATAACCAAGTTCCCCAGTAACTTACAATTTTCAACGTCATATAGAATTTTCATTTAAAAAAAGCAACAAATCTTGCGAAAATTTAAAAAAATTCTTGTTCAAATTTCGATAAAAATATAACTATACCTCAAATAATAGTAATACAAAAATATATTATTTTTATAAATTAAAATCTAGCAAAAGCATGTTTGAAGCTTCAAAATTATAAAAAAATATTGATTTTTATCAGAAAATTATTGTTCAGACCAAGTCAGTTTCCAATGCTAAAATTATTGACTTTGTAACTGCAGCAGCTGCGAGAGCTGCATATGACTGCCATTTTGATTTTATTGTACCATCTTTATAATCGCTTATTCCTCGAACAAAAATAAAACCATCTCTGAAATGAATAAAACCAACTCATACAATATATCCTCCATTTATATAAACTCAGCGCATACATAGTTATAATAATAATTACTTTGCATGTGAATTATATGTTAGTATTTTAATTATATTTTAAATTGGAAAAAATGTTAAAGATAAATAATGGAACCGGAGAATTTTAGGTTCAAAAAATCGAAAGAAAGAAAAAAGAAGAATAATCCCCGGTAAAAATATAAAAAAAAAAGACTTACCTACAATTTCCGATGATACTTTGTATGACAGGATCAAATTCAGGGACGTATGCTAGTATGTCATGTTCTGAAGAAAATTTTCGCCTGCAGAGATCGGACCAGGAAACTTCTCGACTTGTTCCAATAACTCCCAAATGCAATCTTGGTCGATTTTCATCTCTAAAAATGTTTTGAAAAATAAGTCATTAGTAAATTTATTATTATTATTATTTTTTTTTTTTGTTGCTAAAAGTTAATTCACCTTTTAAAATCTTCATCTTGAGGTATGGGATGAGACACTTCGATTAAATCATTTTCACCAACATTCATGTAAAGTCTATCAGTGTTCGAATGTGGCCTACTGAATTCTTGTTCTGTTGACGTTTTCAGTGTTTTGTAACCTTCATCCAAATGCTTCCAAATGAAATTATTGTCATTCATTGTAGACTGTAAAACATAAATTATAATAATTATTTAAAGAATAAAAAATTGCAAAAAAAAATACTTTAAATATTAAACCATACTTGATTTTTAATTTTAGCAGCCACGGTTTGCAATACTGAATTTTTCGAACGATATTCTTTAGTTTGAAATTTAAAAGAGCCTGGACTTGTTTCTGTAGCATCCTCACAGTGTATGAAAATGGTACTAAAAAATATTAAAAATGCTTTGTAATATTTACATATTTGGTTTTTATTAATTTTTCACGTAATTGTTTATACTTACTCTGATTTTGGAGTAGCATGAGAAATAACAACGTCACCCAATCGTACGTGTTTATTATAATTCATAAAATGTGGAACTCCACCACCTACGCCCACTAATATAACATGATTTACTTTTTGAAATGTACCCAATAATCTGGTAGTAGTATTTCCAGCTGCTATCATGGCTTCTCTAGAAAGACCAACCAAAGGTAGTTTTGTGCATACAACTCTGTGTTCCCCAATATTTCCTAAAGTGTAAACGTTGGATTCTCCTACGGTTTAATTTAGTAAGATTAAAAAAAATCCTTCATCACTTTAATGATAATAAAATTTATGAGACTTTGCTCTTTCGTTAAATTAATCAAATAGAAAAAAAACAAAATTTTGTTACTTACCTATTGTATTGTATTTAACAAAAGTTTCTTTGTCATCTATGGTTGCATCTACAGCCAATTTTTCAGTAAAAAACGCAGTAATTATGGCTATGCTTGGTTGTCGATCATTGATTATTTTTGGCATTTGCTTTACAATCTGAAAAATCAAATTTATCATTACAATAAAATAAATACATTTAAAAATTTTTTTTTTTTTTTTATATCAATTAAAAACTCTGTACATTTCAGTATGATACTTTAAAAAAATAAATTAAAAAGGGAATACTTACTAAATTTTAATGTATAAAGTTACGTTAACAAATTTCATTTAATTCACTTACTTTTATTTCGTTATCATGTAATGCCATTCTAGTATACTGTTCATAACCGACAGGTTTTATTATTCCTTTTTTTTGTAATATATTCAATATATTTCTGACATCTTTTTCATCCAAATTGTACAGTCTGAAACAAAAGACAAATCATTAAATATATAGTATGTCAAATTTTTTTGATTAATAAATAAAATTTCAATTTGTTTTTTAAAAAAAATTTAAAAATACCTATGAAAATCTTGAATAGTGATAGGATTCGGATAAAATGATTCCATAATTTCTATTACTTTTTCTTGAAGTATTTCAACTTTTTCTTTTGCATTTGATTCTGTAACTATACCTGTAAACATAATTAAAATAAAAATAAGTAATTTTAATTAAACTGAATATGAAGATTAAATTATTATTAATTTTACATACCAGGTTGCTTAACATGTTCAGAACTTTCAATTTGATTTAGGGTTAATTCAATTCTTAAAATATCCTTGTATTCATTTTGAAGTAATTTCATTATTTTTTTTATGAAATTAACATAATCTCTTGGAAAAGTATTTGGATGAATTAAATCCCCAAAAAAATCTTGAGCTATTGTTGTTTTCTCTGAATTTGTTTGAATTGTCGGCTTAAACCAAAATTTTAAAGTTCTCGCTTCTTGAGTGTGTTTTTTAGTAACATTATTGATTAAAAATACTTGAAATTGAATAGAGAGATCTGGCGGTATAATGTTTACATTGTCTGCAAATAAATAATTACAATTAAAATATTAATTTTTTTATACAATAAAAGTCAATAAACAAACAATTTTCATAAAAATTATTTTACATTTTACTTTATTTTACCAAGTTTTAAAACTTTATTTCTAAAAAAAAGCATACATTTAATTATTCTTACCATTTAGTTCTTTATTAATGACAATTCCTTTATGTTGACCCTCAGCTACATAAATATTATCTTCATTTTCAGTGTTTTTCAATGTCTTCCTTTCAATCCATATTGTAGTAGAATTTTCAGTTTTATTCTTTGGTGTTAAAACAATGCTTTCTAAAATTAAAGATACACATAAAAATTTATAAATTTAAAAAAATACTAAATAATCATAAATAAAAAAGTTATTAAGTAAATCGTAGTTAAATAGATCATTAGTAAGTTAGTCGTTAGGTAAACTTAAAACATTGAACATGTGTGATTTAGTCATATGTATAAAAAAGATGAGTAAAACCATCAATTAATATTTTTAAAATCGAATTATAATAACCCATTGTATCATGATGTGTCAAATTCAATATTATATGTAGCAACTTTATTTATTTTAGATTTTGTGCCAGTTAAAATAATGTTATTTTGTTTTCATCAAACATTTTTGTGATACATTAAAATTGTGATAAAAAAATAAAAACATAAGAAAATAACCTGTATGGGGTATATTAAGAAATGTAATTGTAAATATGATTAATAAAACACCATTTAAAAGAAAACAGATTTTTTATATAAAAGTATAGATTAAAAAATCATAATTAGACTTAAATTGCTTTTGTGAATTCAATGTTTAGTAAATTCGCATATTTGTTAGATATAAATAATTTTAACTAGATTAGTTAAAAAAAAATTAAAATCAACATTTTTGTTTACTCCTTCTTTGTTTTTAATAAGTTCCAACTTGGGTAAATTATTTTAGAAACAAAACTTATATTCACCACAGTTGCGTTGAAAATTATTAATAAATGGAAAATTAGAATTCCTAGAAAAAAATTGAATTAAACCATAATTTTTATATAAATAAATATTATAAATTGACAAACATACAAACATCAAAATTGTCTCATCCAATTCTTTTCTTTTTTTTAAATATTTCCTTTTGAAGGAAAAAGTAAAAAAAAGTAAAAGATAGTTTAGAAGTCATATACATTTTCATATTTTTAATATTTCAAAATAAAAACAATAGAAATAACTTTTTTTTTTTTTACTTATAAAAAACTTAGCACTTTATGACTAATAATTGCGCAGCCATTTTGTTCTTGTGTCTTACTTTTATAATATTTCATATTTATGCTTAGAATTTCATAATAGAGAACTTAGTAATAAAATTTCACGAAAAATAATAAAATAACATAAAAAAGTTACCTTTTACTTCCATTTTTTCGGTTGATCAACAACTCTTTTCAGAATTAATAATATTTACATTTACGCTATTTAACTGATCCAAAGTTAGTTAAGAAAAAATTTAGATAAGATGATTAACGTCATTTTCAAAGTGATAAACCTGTTTCCAATTTTAGAACCGTTAAAATAAGGAAATTTTCCAATCAATTTAAAAATAAAAGTTTTTTGCAAATAAATTCATCGTCACAAATGTTTAACGTTGCATTTATAATAAGTATTCCTTTTTTTTTTTTTTTTTTATTAATAATTAGGAAAATTACTATGAATTTTCCCGCATTAAATAAAAAGTTATACAAATTAACAATAAAATTATTTAAAAATAATAATTTTTTTTTTTTTTTTTTAAATTCAAAAACAATTTATTAAAAAATTATTTCAAGTACTATTTATTTATTTTTTTTAATCAGCAAGTTTTTTTTTAACAATAATGAGTAAATACTGCTATAATAATATAGTTACAATTTACTCATATACATTTTCTTTTACACCAATTTAAAAAAAAAACAACTTTACTAGCCATTAAGAAATACAATTTTATAAATATCATCATAGGTTGCCACAAAATGAACCTCAAGTCCATCTGTTATGTATTTAGGAAGATCATTATAATCTTTTTTATTTTCTTCTGGTAATATGATGCAATTTACTCCAACTCTTTTCGCCTAAAAATTTTATAAATTGTAAGTAATTTTTTGACTTACATTGAAAATAATAAAATATTGAAAAAATCTAAAATTTATAATTAAAATTACCGCAATCGTTTTTTCTTTGATACCACCCACGGGTAATATTTTTCCTTTTAAAGATACTTCACCGGTCATTGCTACATCTTGTCGAATAGGTAAATTTTTAGCTAAAGAAAGAAGAGCAGTTACAATTGTGCAACCAGCACTTGGCCCATCCTTTGGTGTAGCACCCTACAACACACAATAAACGTAATTTTAATAATGAATAAAATAAGATAAATAAAAATTTATAATTTTAAAATTTTAATTTTTTAAGAATAATATTAAATTTTATATTTACCTCTGGTACGTGTAAATGCAAATGGCTGCGGTAGAGAAAACTATTTTGTGGATCAGTAGTTTTTAAGTAATTTCTTGCAACTGTTAAAGCTATTCTTGCAGATTCCTTCATCACTTCGCCAAGATGTCCTGTAAGTTCTAACGAACCTTCATTATTTTTGTCATCAAATGGTTTTCTGGTTTCTGTTTCAATAAAAAGAGTAGAGCCACCTGTAAAAACAATAAAAAATGAATTATTACAAAAACAATTGTACCTGTCATATGAGTTTGATTTGATTTTTAAAAAAAACAAACCCATTGCTGTCCATGCCAAACCCATAACGACACCTGGAGGGGTTTCCTCATACATGCGATCATGAGTAAACACGGGTTTACCGACAAATTCACTCAAGTTCTCAGGAACAACTTGAATGACGTTAGCTTCCTGTTGTACAACTTTATAAGCCACCTTACGTACAACTTTTTCAATGTGTTTTTGTAAATTTCTCACTCCGCTCTCTCTACAATAGTTTTTAATCAGAGTTGTCAAAGAATCATCATGAATTTTTAACTGAAATGGTAAAATTTGTATAAATAAAATTATAAATTTTTTAAAATAATTTTTTTAAATGAGTTTTAATTTACTTGTTCAGTTTTAAGACCCGCGTCTTTCATGGCCTGAGGTACCAAATATTGTTTAGCAATGGCTAATTTTTCTTCTGCAACGTATCCAGAGACATCTATCATTTCCATTCTATCCCTTAATGGTTCAGGTATGGTTTCAACCACATTAGCAGTGCATATAAATAAAACCTTAGATAAATCAACGGGAACGTCAAGGTAGTGATCCAAAAAGTTAAAGTTTTGCTCTGGATCTAACATTTCTAAAAGTGCAGACGATGGATCTCCTTGGTAGCCTCTAAAAATTTAATTTAAAATTATTGAATCATAATTTGGAATCTAAAAAATAAAACTTTTAATAGAAAAATTTTTTTGTTAATATGACTATTATATTTTTTCTACCTACTTTCCTATTTTGTCGACTTCATCTATAAGTATTAAAGGATTTTCAGTTTTGGTTTTTTTCAGACACTGAATTACTTTTCCAGGCATTGCTCCTACGTAAGTTCTTCTATGACCTTTAATTTCAGCAACATCAGTCATACCACCAACACTAAATCTAAAATACTTAAAACAATATAATTAATTTATTGAAATAAATCAAAATTAAAAATATTTAAACTTAAAAATAGCAGTACCTCCCGATTTAAGGCTCTAGCAATAGACCTCGCAATGCTGGTTTTTCCAACTCCTGGCGGCCCGAAAAAACATAAAATTTTTCCCTGAGTGCTTCCTTTTAACTGACTGACCGCAATAAATTCCAAAACACGTTTTTTAACATCTTCCATTCCGTAATGATCTTCGTTCAGAATTGACGTAGCTCTTGTTAAATCTAGGTTTTCAGGACTTGTGACTCCCCAGGGAAGTGACGTAAGCCAGTCTAAATAATTTCTTGTAACACTGAAAATAAAAATATTATACATATTAGATAAAAAGTTTTAGTTTTAATTCTAAAAAAAAAAAAAAAAAAATTAAAATGCTATTTTCTAACTTAAATTCAGACGAATGGCTTTCTAAAAATCCTAATTTATTCAGTTCTTCTTCAAGAACATCTTCTACTGCTTTCGGAACCTTTTTTCCTTTTATTCTTTCTCGAAACTTTTCTTCTATGGCGTCTTTATCATCTTTTTCTAATCCTAACTCTTTCTTTATCACTTTTAATTGCTCGTGAAGAATATATTTCCTGTGTTGTTGTTTTACTTTTTCTTCAACTTCTCTACCAATTTTGGCTTGCAGTTTACTCAATTCAAATTCTTTCTTAAGTAGAGACAAGGATAGCATCAGTCTTTTAGGAATCTAGTTTTGATTTTAAAAAAAAAAAAAAAAATTTAATAATTAGTTTAAATAAAATAGAAAAAATTTAAAATTTTGACAGTAGTTTTTTTGATTTTTCAACAACATACATCAGTCTCTTCTAGAACAGCTTGTAACTCAGCAGCTTCAGCTCCAGTTAACGCTGCTCCTAAATCTGATAAGTAAACAGGATTATCTACAACTCTTTGACCTTGATGTAACATTTGTTGTAATGACTCCCTGTACAATGGGTTCATGCTAATAATATCTCTTATAGTTTTTATCACTTCTTGAGTTAAAGCCTATATCAAATAAACTTATTATTAATTATTATATATTATAATATTAATATATATTTTCTCAAATACGATTTAAAATTAAATACTGTAATACTTAAAAACAAGACTTATGAAAATTTTGAACAATCGAGTTAAAATTCGCATTTTAACTGCAAAGAAAGCAACAGTATTTGGCAAGACTTTTAAAATAAACTTGTAGCATACTTAATAATACTCACTGTGAATAGTTTGACTTACCTTGACTTCTTCTGTTTGCCTAAATTTTTCATGTGTAACATTTTCTACTTCAACCATTAAAATCTGATGACTTGATACATTATCCTTTTTAGAGTCAACTTTTTCTTTTTCAACTGCTGCAATTGGTTCTTTGATATTTTCTGAAGAATTATCTAAACTTCTTTTTTTTCGTCTTTTCTTTCTATTACTTACATCATCTGTAAGATAATAAAAAATAAGATGTAAAAATTATAAAAAAATAAATAAAAAAAATTCAGATAATAAATATTTTTAAAATGAAATATTATGATTTTACATGTTTCAGAAAAATATTGCTACAATTTAAAAATATTAAATTTCTTGTTATTTTTTTTTTATAGTAATTAACAAAACACCTTAAGAGGTAAGAAAAAAAAAAAAAAATACCTGTTTCTACATCATCTGGTAGTTGTTGAATTATTTTTATTCTTCTGTGTGCCATAACAACCAATCTTAATTTATCCCCTAAATCTTGCATTTCATGAATTTGAGCAAAAGTCCCGACTGAGTACACTTCATCCAAGGAATTTACAATTTCTTTATCATTTCTAAATTAAAAAAAAAAAAAAAAATTTTCAATTCACTAAAACACAAAAATTATAAGAGAATATAATTATTTATTTATACTCTTCAGATTTCTTCAAGAATATTCCAGCGTAAGGCTGATTTAATCGAACTTTTCTACGAATCAAATCAATTAAAACAGGATTTGATACTTCGACTAATTTTATAAATCTGGGAAACACTGGATTTCTGTTAATAGGAATTATTGGTACATGAGGCCAAACTTCTGGCACTACAACAGTAGCAGGCAAGGAAGGATGTGTTGATTGAGTTTTTTCCTCATGATATTCTCGACCATCATCATCATCAGATCCATCGTTTGATGCACTAGGAGGTTTTTCACTTGAAAAAAGTCTTGTTTGAAAAAAAATTGCTTTTTTAAATCTAAAATAAAATAATTTAAACAAACTATTAGTTTGAATTAAACAAAATAACATTTATCTATGAAAAATAACCTAACCTTTGTGTTATTAAAGATGATTCTCGTTGTCCAATAATTGGAATAATAAATGTGTTTTTACTTGCAACACTTTGTCTATAAAAACTATAAAATTTTGAAAGTCGGCTTAAAGAAATTCGAACGTTACCCTTTGATTTTTTGGTAAATGCACCATAAACGTTCGGGATGGGATTTCTCACTAGTCGTAGCATTCTATTTTATAAACAATTTTTATATCTGTGGCTTTTACTAAATTATAAATCATATTTGATTTACATATATTTATATTTTCATGATCCCACAATAATTTATTCGCGGATACACAATCAATTATTATTAAAAAAACATGCAATTCACAATCGACACTCGATGATGGATGATATCACCATTGTATT